CCCCCCCAAGGAGAAAGGCTGCAACAATGGGCTCAGACATAACAACTGTGAGGATGGTGCAGGACTGGACACTGTTTTGTTCTGTTGTGCACAGGGTCACCATGAGTTGGAACTGACTCCGTGGCATCTAATAATAACATACATACTTGTTGTTGTTGTTAAGTGCTGTTGAGTTGGTTCCAACCCATAGCAACCCTGTATAGGGTTTCTGAGGAGCAGCTGGTGGGTTTGATCCACCAACTTTGTGGTTCAAACCGACTTTTCAGTCCAGCTTATTAACCCACAGTGCCACACCAGGACTCCAACAATACATATACTAGGGCTTAAAATTTACCACCTGGAGTACTTTTCTGAAAAAATTACTTGAGTAGGAACTCCAGCAAAACAAAAGTACAGTAAAGAAGATGCCTTGAAATTCAAGAAACTATAGTGAACAAGGAACTAAGAATCTTTATCATCTAAATAATTACTGATACATGTTTTCAAATTTTAATAACAAAAATATTTCATTTCAAATTTTAGAGGCGATGATAGCTAACTAAAACAGATTGCTCTCCTCGCCTCTAGCACTGGTTGCTATTGTTGTTGTTAAGTACCACTGAGTCAGTTCTGACGTATAACAATCCTGTATAGGACTTCCGAGGAGCAGCTGAAGGGTTTGAACCATTGACCTGTGGCTAGCAGTCCAGTGCTTATCCTACAGTGCCACAACAGGATACTCTAATAGTGGTAACAGTGGGTAATGCAATTGGCAAGGTAGACTGTGACTGGCTTTACAAATTAGATCTTCCCTTTCCTCTGACCGTGATAGTACCTGGTGTGGCACTGCGGGTTAATGCGCTTCACTGTAAGATTGGTTTGAACCACAAGGCCAGTGGTTTAAACTGCTCCTGGGAAACCCTGTACAGGACTGCTCTGAGTCAGAAATGACTTGATGGCACTTAACAACAACACAATACCTCACTTCCTTACTGCTTGTTTGTGACTACCCCAGTTGCTCTCTTGAATTTCAAATTTCCCATTTCAGTGATGTTTCTCAGTCTGTACCTTTAAACATCACTCTCTATTGCTGACCACCTTTTCTTTATGAAAGTTTCATTTTACTTGTTTTCCACTTGGTTCCCTTTTCCTAAACGTGGGTATACCCCAAAGTTATGTTCTCAGTTCTCCTCCCTTGTTGTTGTTGTTGTTAAGTACCATGGAGTCGGTTCCGACTGTGACCCTGCACAGGGTTTCTGAGGCTGTAAATCTTTACGGGAGCAGAACACCTCTTCTTTCTCCCATGGAACTGCTGGTAATTTCAAACTGCTGACCTTGAGATTGGCAGCCCGACTTGTAACCACTACGCTACCAGAGCTCCTTTATTTCCTGGTAAACTCTCTTCCTCCTTTGGCTACTTCATCCATTCCTGTAATGTACCTTTTCTCAAACTGAGTTCAACATTCCAACTGCCATCTGGATGTCCTTCTACACCTCAAATTTAACATATTCCAACAAAATACCACCTTTTCTCTGAAACATGAACTTCTCAATTCAGTCATGATTAGTATCAGTCATGATTCTCTCGGTATCAATCTAGAAAAGAACCTGAGTCTACAAAGTAAAATAAATAGGTTATAAATAAAACAAATAAATAAGAAGGTTACAAAGTATTTTCGGTATCAATGAAGATAATCTTTCCTCCTTGGTAGCCATCTGCTCCTGGAAGTTGAGCTGTCACTAGGGAGCAATAAAAAATTAATCAATATTAATAAAAGTGAAAAAACTCTGTGCAAATGAATATAAATTAACATGGAATTTATGCTTGTTGCTTCTGTTTAATAAATTTATCAATCATGATTCTCTAGTTCCTAAGCAGCATGCTATATTATCATATTACTAATGGTGAAGATTCGTGGTGAAATTTTAAGTATCCTGCCAGCATAGTAGTAATTTAATAAAGGATTTTAATATCTTTCACAATGAGATATTTAGCCGATGAAAAATGTATGAATAGCAACAGAATATTGTCAAATATAGTGCCAGAAGATGAAAACATTATGAATAGCACCAGGATATATTGTCAGCTATAGTACCAGAAGATGACCTCCTTATGGTGGAAGACACTCAAATATGACTGAGGATATTTGATATAAATATATACCTCCTCAAAGTATGGTTAAGCATGATGATGTGAATTTCATTTGCTTCATTTGCTGATCAAGAACAACTTAAAATGAGGAGAAACAGCTGCTAACATCCATTAATAATCGGAACGTGGAATGTACAAAGTATGAATCTAGGAAAACTAGAAGTTATCAAACATGAAAAGCATAACGATAGCTAGCTATCCTAGGCATTAATGAGATGAAATGGATGGGTATTGGACATTTTGAATTTGACAATCATATGGTTTACTATGCCAGGAATGACAAATTCAAGACGAACGGCATAGCATTCATCATCAAAAAGAATATTTCAAGACACTTGAAGTACAACTCTGTCTGTAATCAAGCATACAATCAAGATGTATTGATAATTACTGGTGATTGGAATGCAAAGGTCAGAAACAAAGAGGAAAAATCAGTAGTTGGAAAATAAAGTCTTGATGATAGAAATGATGCAGGAGATCTCATGACAGATGTTGGAAGACCAATGACTTATTCATTGCAAATCCTTTTCTTAAGCACCATAAAAGATGACTATACACATGGACGTCACAGGAAGGAATGTAGAGAAATAAAATTGAGTACATTTGTGAGAAGTGACAGTGGAAAAGTTCAATATCATCAGCCAAAACAAGGCCAGGGGCTGACTGTGGAACAAATCATCAATTGCTCATATGCAAGTTCAGGCTGAAGCTGAACAAGTTAAAAGATGTCCACAAGAGCCAAAATATGACCATGCACAAATTCCACCTGAATTTAGAGATTATTTCAAGAACAGATTTGAAGCATTAGACAACAATGACTGAAGACTAGAGAGCTGTGGAGTGACATTAAGAACATAACACAGGAAAAAAGCCAAAGGTCATTAAAAAGACAGGAAAAAAGGAAAAGACAAAAATGGATGTAGAACAGACTCTGAAACATGCTCTTGAGTATAAAGAAACTAAAGCAACTGGAAGAAACGAGGAAGTAAAAGAGCTAAACAGAAAACTTCAAAGGGCAACTCCAGAGGACAACATCAAGTATTGTAATGAAATGTGCAAAAGATCTTGAGTTAGAAAACCTAAAGGGGAGAAAATTCTCAGCATTTCTGAAGCTGAAAAAACTGAAGAAAAATTCAAGCCTCAACTTGCAATGTTGAATAATTCCATGATCAAAATATTGAATGATGCAGAAAGCATCAAAAGAAGATGGAATGTATACACAGTCACTGTAAAAAAAAAAAGAAATGGTTGATGTTCAATCATTTCAAGAGGTAGCATATGATCAAGAACCAATGATATTGAAGGAAGAAATCCAAGCTGCACAGAATGCATTGGCAAAAAACAAGAATATGGGAATTGACAGAATGCAAATAGAAATATCTAAACAAACTGATGCAGCACTGGAGGCAATTACTCATCTATGCCAAGAAATTTGGAAGACAGCTACCTAGCCAGACAAATGGAAAGATCCATATCTGTGCCCATTCCAAAGGCAGATTGCCCAACAGAATGCAATACTCATCAAACAGTATCATTTATATCACATGTAAGTAAAATCTTAATGAAGGTGATTTAAAAATGACTGTAACAGTACATTGACAGGGAATTTCCAGAAATTCAAGTCAGATTCAGAATAAGACATGGAGCTAGGGATAGACAGCATTGCTGATGTCAGATGGATATTGGTTGAAAGCAGAGAATACCAGAAAGATAATTATTTGTGCTTTATTGACTATGCAAAGGCTTTCTATTGTGTGGACCATAATACGGTATGGATAACATTGAGAAGAATGGATATCCTAGAACACTTCAGGGCGCTCATGAGGAACTTGTACACAGAATAAGAAGCAGTGGTTCAAAAAGAACAAAGGATACTGAATGGTTTTAAACCAGCACCGGGGCTGCATTTTTTCACCAAGTTTTTTCAATTTGTATGCTGAGCAGGTAATCTTTAAAGAATTCAAGAGCAAAGCTATCAGTTTGAGGACTAAGGTGCACCTGACCCAAGCCATGGTATTTTCAATAGTCTCATATGAATGTTAAAGTTGGACAGTGAATAAGGAAGACCATAGAAGAATTGATGCCTTTGAGTTTGGAAGAATACAGCCAGAATGTTCCACAGAAACGAGGATGGTGAGATTTGGTTTCTCATACTTTGGACATATTATCAGGAGTGACCAGTCCTGGAGAAGGACATTATGCTTATTAAATTGGGGGGGGGGGTGGTGTCAGTGAAAGAGGAAGTTTCCAACAAGATAGAGTGGCACAGTGGCATTAGCAGAATTAATTGTTAAGAATAACAATTATTAGGATGGTTATACTAGGTACACGACTGGGCAGGGTTTTGTTCTGTTGTGCATAAAGTCACTATGAGTCGGAACTGACTCAATGGCATCTAACAACAACAGCATAATATTCATGAAAGTTCTCCCAAAGAATGGAAGTAGAATTTTAACACTACTGCCTATAAGAAATAATCAAAAATATAATTTATACTTTTCAAGTCATTTAAGTTATTTTTTAGTACATGTTAAATTTAAAATATGTATTGATTTTACTAAGGAATTACTTTGTACCAGGTATATATGTGCATTATTTCATTCACTTTTCAAAACAACTCTAAAGTTTGGCATTATTATGAGGGTGAGTCAAAAATTAGCTGCTCTCTGGTTATATTAAAATACTTGTTCACATCCACGACTGATGACAACATTGAATATGCACATGAAATGGTTCTGTCGAATAGAAGAATTACAGTGGATTATATGGCAAATCATTTGCAAATCAGCCTCTACTCTGTCTATGAAGTAATCCATGATAGATTTGGGTTTCAAAAAGTTTGTGTGAGATGGGTACTGAAACAACTCATGGAAGAGACTAAACAGAAGCATTTGGACATCTGCAAATAAAATTTGGACCAATACTAGAAGGGAGGAATTAGTAGGAAGAAGGTTCAGCAATCAACAGTGCTTGTTACATTACTTCACTGAAGAGCTGAACCCTAAACTTCAGATTAGACCCAGAGGACTGCTATCCAAGGG